TTTAGCTTTGGTAGCCGGAGCTTCTTTGGCTTTGGGAGCCGGAGCTGCTTCGGCTTTGGGAGCCTGAGCTGCTTCGGCTTTGGGAGCCTGAGCTTCTTTGGCTTTGGGAGCCGGAACTTCTTTAGCTTTGGGAGTCGGAGCTGCTTCAGCTTTGGGAGCCTGAGCAGCTTTAGCTTTGGGAGCCGGAGCTTCTTTAGCTTTGGGAACTGGAGCTGCTTCAGCTTTTGGAGCGGGAGCTTTTTCAGCTTCATGCAAAGTTCCTGGAGCTTTGAGACACAAGAATTGGCCCTCTTCTATGAATGTTATAAAAATAAATCAAGAAACAAATATGAACTCTGCTTTATTTTATAGTATAACAATAGCATTCTCAAGGAAAAAAAAGTGCTCCTGGAACATAATGTATCTTATGTTCTAAAAGCATGGCTATTCTCAGGCAAAGATCTGGTGTTATGGGACAGAGGAGGTCCAAGAGAACACAGAAGGAGAAAAAGAGAATGTTTCATAACATCAGCTTCTCCAGGCTGTCAACCAATTGGTAGCAGCCATCCAGAGACTACCATTTGTGAACTTAAATGCAACTGGAGAAATTTTCCTTTTGAAGATTAATTGACATATTCAATAGAGTTTCATCTTTGTTGAAGGCAATTCAAGTTATATACACACATATACATGTACAATGTAAAACTACGGAAAGAGATCCATATGTAGAAATAGATATATTAATGCGTTAACAATGGTATTGCTTGATGGTAGGATAATGAAAATTTTTATTTGATAGGTTTTCAAATTTTCTATGATATAAATAAAAGAGTTAGGTTTTTTTTTTTTAAAAAAAAAAAAAGATGGGGTTTTGCAATATTGCCCAGGCTGCAGAGCAGTGGTTATTCACAGGCACCATCATGGCACACTGCAGCCTCAAACTTCTGGGCTCTAGCGATCCTCCTGCCTCAGCCTCCCGAGTAGCTGGGATTATAGGTGCACGCCATCGTGCCAAGCTAAGAATTAGTGGGTTTTGTTTGTTTTTACCACAAGGGGGCTTCCAGAAACTCATTTCTCTATGTCTCCATTATTTTTCTACCTCCCTGAATGCAGTGAGGAACTTATTTGGGGTCAGGGCTTCCCACCTCAACCAGTATCTAGATTTTCTTGCATTTATAGCAAGTGTCAAGAAAAATGAATCACACTTTACACCATGGGCAATCTCAATCTGTCCTCCTAAGGTCTGGGGCAAGTTTCTACTCCTGCTGGGATTCAAAGTCTTTCTTACCTTTTGGCAGTTTGGCCATCTGTACCAGAGGTTGTTGCTTCCTTGAGTCTCCTTGGTCCAAGCTGTGCTCAGAGAGGTTTCTGAAACGGGGCCTCACAGCACTGTCCTCCTGGACTTGGCTCCTTCTGTCAATCGGGGGGGCCAACCCAGGAGGCCTCACAGGACCTTCCCCCTCACTTTGGCTCCTCTGGGCCCTCTGGGAGTCTATTTCCTCCCGGGACGCCACTGCAGCCGACTGCGGGCCAGGTGGGTAGATATACCCAATAGGCAACTGGGGTGGGACTGAAACACCTGCCACCGCTTCCCCTTCCGAGAGTACGCTAAGTGGGGAAGGTGGTAAGTACGGGAATGCTACTGGGTATGGCGCGGGGAATGGTGCGGGGAATGGCATTGGCTTAGGGGGTTGAACAACCTGTACCCAAGGACTAGGGGGTCCTGGTTGATAATGCACATCTGTCGCGGATGGTATCTGGGCCCCCCCCGTCAGGGACAACGCAACCTGCCCACCCTGTGACCCTGCGGCCAGTGTCTCACTCTGCTGTTCTTCGTCCTGGGTCAGCGTGTCGGCCTGGGCAGATCTTTCCGCCTGGAGCAGCTGCCAGTACAGCATGTCACGTTCGTACAGCACCTTCTGCAGGTCGTCTCGCGCGCGACGCAACTGCAAGACCACCTCGTCACGCTCCTGGCGCACCCGCTGCAGGTCGGAGGCCAAAGCCCGGTTGGCGTCATCGTGCCCCTCGATCTGTTCCCGCAGCCACCGGGCCTGGCGTGCCTGCTGCTCCGGCTGCCTCGCGACCACTCGCGCGCTCAGGGCCAGCGCACTCCAAGCACAGGCCCGCTTGGTGGCGCGCGGCACTTGTGGATCGGTGAGGATGGCGCACAGGCCGTCCTCTATCTCGTTCCACGGCCGCGAGCGGAAGCTGAGGTAGAAGTCTGGGCTGCCGCCATTATTGAGCACCTCTTCGTTGATGAACGTGACCACCTCTCTGTGGCAGAAGCCGCTCCTGCGGTCCCCAAAGTCAAAGGCCATGGCTGTTGGGGCCTAGTCAGCCGGCCCACTGCCGCTGCCGTTAGAAACGGCGGGCCGTCAACCGTCAACCCCGCTCCTCCTCGCTTAGTCCTTTTTCAGTCCTTGCCCAGTCTTAACCTCCTCCTCGGCCTCCTTCCCCCTTGTCCCGTCCTCCTCACAAAAAGTTAATCCCTTAAGCCAATCCCTTGCCACGCCAACTCCTACCAGAGCGACAGCGTAGCACACCGCAGAGACAGCCTCGAGTCTTGCCGCAAGGCCGGCTGGGACCAACGGTCCTCCTCAAAACTCTCGGACCAAGCGTCCTCCTCAGAACTCTCGCGCTACGCAGGCAAGTGAAGACGCGCTCTGGGCTCTGCCCGCGAGAGAGAGAGAGAGAGAGAGAGAGAGAGAGAGAGAGACAGACAGAGAGAGACAGAGAGACAGAGAGAGACAGAGAGACAGAGACAGAGAGAGAGAGAGAGAAAACAGCGCGTCACAGCGCCCCCTACAGGGAAGGTTGGCTGGGCGACGGTGCTGAAGCCTGCAGACTGCAGTGAGCCAACCGAGGACTCTTGTTTCCAAGAGGTTCTGAGAGGCAGCACCCAGGCACATGCTATGAATTTCTAATCTGAGGGTGGGGTAGGTGGATGCACGGGGGGCTCTTTTTGACTCAGCTCCCTCTCCCATAATTCTCAATTGCTATATCAAGCCTTCTGTAGTCTCGAGCTGTCTGCCTTCTTCCCTCTTCACCTTAAGAAGATGACCTTGTCATCAAGCAAATCAAGTGATTGAGCCATGAAGTCCCTTAACTTTCCTTGCTAAACCTTATCTCCATGCTCTAGATCCCAGTACCTCCTATTCCATTTCCTCAAGGACTTTAATTCATCTTATTCCCCCGTCTTTCCTGCATCTCTCCCATCTGCTGTGCTACTGGATATTTTTCTCCCATATAGTAAATCTGTTCAGGTTCCTTCCATGCTTAAAATCATTTCCTCCTCTACCCGATATCTCACCTTTCTCAACGCCATCCTTTCTCTCTTTTCATTAGAGAATATTCTATGCTATGTTCACTTCTTTGTGCTCTCTTCACCACTCAACCTGCTGCACTTTGGGTTTCACCCCCAAAACTTTCGTGAAAATTCTCTAAGGTCTCCAGCAGTCCCTGCCTCAGTACAAAAGCTAGCAGATAGCTCAAGCCCGTAATCCTAGCACTCTGGGAGGCCGAGGAGGGAGGATCGGTTGAGTTCAGGAGTTCGAGACCAGTCTGAGCAAGAGTGAGACCCCGTCTCTACAAAAAATAGAAAAAATTGGCGCACGCCTGTAGTCCCAGCTACTCAGGAGGCTGAGGCAGGAGGATCGCTTCAGCCCAGGAATTGGAGGTTGTAGTGAGCGATGATGACCCCACTGCACTCTACCCAGGGAGACAGAGCGAGACTGTCTCAAAAACAAACAAACAAAAAAAA